AACATGGAAACATGGGTGGGGTTCATCTCCTCTTTCTGCTATTATATAACTTGGAAATTTACTGCTGACCATCATTTTGTGGTTAAAAAAAAAAAAAACAACCATACACAACGCTTTGTTTACATTTGTATTTCTTTGTCCTTGCATCAGGGGCTTTCAAAATTACCTTTCTGTTTATTTTTCATCCAATTTCAATACTCAAGATTACAAACTTTCTAGTCATTCTTGCTTTCCCAGCAAAATATGCTAGCATCCCTGTGATTGGATTACTAATGTGACTGTCATGGGTCCCATGCCCTCAGGCCATGATTTCTGTAAAAGCAACTACTCTAAGCCATGAGTTACTGCTTTATTCTTATTAACAAAAGTGTAAGAGATCATTTACTCATAGGAAATTAACTTTGAATGACATGCACAACAAACATCATTTATATAGTTTTTGCTGATAGTACACTTGGGTTTTTTTCTAGCTCAAACCCAATTTCTGGCAGCATATTCTAGCTCCTCAGATCGCTAGACATTTTTTCTTCTACATTACATTTGTTTTACTATGCACCTACCTATTTTTCATGCATACCTATTTGTGTATGCAACATGCATACTCTATCTTCTATTTTAAGAGATTTCTCATTTTGTTCTGGGCTAAGCATCGCCCTGACCATGCCCTCTACAACCTCAGCCTTCCTTCCAGCTAAGGTGGACCGTGGGACTCACACCTACTTCAAGGAAGAGTAGGTGAAACAGCTTTGGCTTCACAACACAGTTGTTGCCTCTCCTCCCATGTAGTACTGTTTCCCTTTCTGTGCCTGGAACAGTATGTGAGAACAGTGACCACTGCAGCCTTCCAGCAATCCAAAGAGAAAAAACAGAACTCCTTGTCCTAGACATTAAAACCTTGTACCAAAGCAGCGTTTGGCTGCCTCTGGCTTTCACAGCACACATGTGTATATCTAATAAGCAACAAAGCTTACCTTGTTGAAGCCACCGTTTAATCCACTATAGCTAAATCTAGTCCCCAATTACAAATGGAGAAGTGGATAGTTTTTTCAAAAGAAAAAATATTCTCTCTCTCTCTCTCTCTCTCTCTCTCTCTCTCTCTCTCTCTCTCTCTCTCT